CATATGTGATACGAATGCTCTAGATTTTTCCTGTGTTTAATTTCTAACCTAATTTCTCTTGCTCAGCACCATTCCCCAGATCCCCACATCTTGCACTGTGTTATCCTTGATGTCTACGGAGCTCTCCCCAGGGGTGCCATCCTTTACCCGTCTAGTCCTGCATGGGTGGACACCTGGTTGATTCTTGCTCCTTGTCATTTGTTTGCCAAACACTTTTTGTTGTTGTTGTTGTTGTTGTTTTTGGTTGAACCAGGGATTGAATTTAGGCCCTTGCACTTGCCAGGCAAGTGCTTATTCTACTGAGCTATCTCCCCGGCCCCCAAATATGTTTATTTGTGTTCTTTTTAAAATGTGTTTGGTATAGGGTCTCGCTATACAGCTTGGACTCTGTGACCCTCTTGTTTCCAGCCTCCCCAGCTCTAGGATTAGAGGCATGCGCCAGCACGTCTGGTCTTGAAGGCTGGCTCAGCATGCCTGGGGCTGGGCTGGCACAGCATGTGGTGCTAAGGACCAAACCCCTCTCCCTGTGCTTTACTAGGCAGGCACCTAGTCTGCTGAGCTATCTCACCAGCTGTTTGGTTGTTTTCTTTTTTCTCATATATATATATTTTTGTTTCCCCGAGGGGGTGCACCGTTCCTGGAGGTACTGCAATACCAGGTCATTGTGTGGAGTGGACAAAGCAAGCTCCTATTCCATCTCCCAGCTCCAAAAATCTATTTAATATATTGTCCTCCGATAGAGGACGTATCAGATATTAAACTGATAAGAACAGATGCTACACTTGATCTTAGCCAAAAGGCTGAGAAGCGATTCTTTGTTTGTTTTCTGAGACAGTCTCGCTATGTAGGTCAGGCTGGCCTTGAGCTCAAAGCAATCTTTGTGCCTCAGCCTCCCAAGTGCTGGGATTACAGGCACGTGCCACCACGCATGGCTCCCTACTCCTTGCTTTTTTTTTTTTTTTTTTGCGGAACCGGGGGTTGAACTCAGGCCCTTATTCCACTGAGCCATCTCCCCGGCCCTACTCCTTGTTATTTATAAACAATGTTTCAGTAAGCATCTCACCTATGCTCATGATGGCTTTGGGGGGATGTGCACCCCCAAGTGACACTGTGGAGTCCCCGGCATCACGTGTCACTCAGTGATGGGACATCTGAGAGACGCATCCTCAGGTGACTTTCCCTATGAGAATGTTGTGGGTACTGATGCCCCCTGAAGTAGCCAGCAGGTCACTAGGTGACACGGTCTTCATCACATGTGTGGCTAGCCCTGGATGGGCGCATGGCTGCCCAGGTACAGCTGTGCTTCCTCCATAAAGTGCTCCCGAGTCCTTTCAGCAGAGCCGAGTGCCAGTGCCGGGGGCCCCTTCTGCTTCTTCTTATCTGCCTACGCTTGATCCTGCCCTTTTTATCTCCGCCCTGCTCACTCGCGGAGTGTGGCTCCTTCCCGCTGACTCCCGCCCTGATTCCTACAAGAGCAGAGCCTCTCCACCACACTTGCGAGTTCCCCAGGTGCCCTCTCATGAGGACGCCCGCCGTGGCCTTTGTCGTCCAGCTGGGCACCTCTGTCCCCTGCTAATCTGTGGGAGTTCTTTGTGTGCTCACTCCAGATGGAGCCCACATCTTGGCGTCTTTGTTGAGTCAAGTGATGATCCTTTTCTAATCCTACTTGACCCTGGGCAGACCCATGCTGAGGTGCCAGGAAAAAGATTATCACCTCATTTTAAAGACGGAAAATCAAGGACCCAGAGAGCTTAATGGCTCTGAACCTCAGAGCTCTGGCTCCTCCAAGAGCTGCCGCAGGTGGCGCGCATGACTCTGAGAACTATTCCCTCGGCTGCACTGCATGGACACCCTGTGAGCTGCTAGGTGTCCAGCCCTGAGCGCACACGGGGCCTCCTGTCACCTTCCCTTCTTCTCCTAACAGAAGCTAACTGCACCTACTTTAAGTTCTTCACCACCGGGGAGAACGCACGCATCTTCCAGAGAACCACAAAGAAAGGTGAGGAGTTTGGGGCAGCCTGGGGAGGGTGGGACATGCTGGCCACACTGTGGCGCACTGCTGGGCCCCAGTGGGCATGGAGTCTGTGCTCTGAGGCTGTCCCAGCTCAGAAGGATGTGTTCCTATGGCTCCCACGCCTGGCGCTGGGGCCTCAGCTCTGCCGGTGGCACATGCTGCATGTGAGCCCGAAGTGTGGGGGCTTTATCTTCAATTCCCAGAGGAGAAAAAAGTCCAGAAAGGCTCGGGCCCTTCTTTTGGGAAGCAGTGGAGGCAGGCATCGTTCCCCAGCCTGACCCGCAAGCAGTCTGGCCCCCAGGGTCTTCCATGTAAAGGAAGCTGGCGCTGCCTTTGTGTCCCTGGGAGGCTGCCATCAGGGATGTGGCTGACTTGATGAGGGAGATGAGTTTTAAATTTTCTTGATTTTAAATCTATTTATTTATTTGAAACAGAGTCTTGCTATGTAGCTCAAGCCAGATGGCTATTGAACTCAAGGCAGTCCTCCTGCCTCCTCTTACCAAGTGCTAGGACTGAAGGTGTGCAGTACCATGCCCAGATGAAATTTAAAATTCAAAGGCCATGTGTAGGCAGTGTGTCTGACGGTGGGGGATGAGATCCTCTGGAGCACACCCTGGCACCACCCCGAGCATGACACTTCTCCGGGCCCTGACATCCTCGCCAGGGCCCGGGAGGTGCAGGCCCCGGTTTTTCAGAGGTGGAAGCGAGTGCTTTTCTGGAGTCCCCCCCGCTTGAAGCAGCTGGAGAGCACCCCTCCTGGGTGCTTCTGCCGTCTCAGCTGCGGTTGCCACCACCTGCCGTGCACACTGCCACTTGATTTCCACCCCTTGTAAACAAACGGTGACCAGACAGGAGTAGTGTGGAGTGATTCCCTGCCTCCTTCTAATTCTGGCCCTGTCCCTTCCCTGCCTTGTGACTTGGGCAAAAATATGACCCTCTCTGCGTCTCAGTTCCTCCGGCAGTGGAAGTAGAATTTGGAGCGTGAGGCGGTCAGCTTTCTGTCGCTGCAGCTGAGCTCCCAAGGGAGACAGCCGGAGGAGGGAAGGCTGGTTTAGGCTCACAGCTTGTGAGTCTCAGTCCGTGGCTGTGGCTCTCTTGCCTCTAGGCACTGGCGCAGCCTAAGAGTCACTCCACCCACGGTGAGGAGGCAGAATGGGGGGGAGAGGAAAGAAGGGGATGGATATGAGAACGGGGAAGCGCTCTGCTTTCGTTCCTTCAGTGCCTCCCACATACAGGGTGGGTATCCTCCTGCTCCCAGCCCCCACACCAGTCACGTGGGGAGACACCCTCACAGGCATACCCAGAAGTGTGCTTCCCTCATTGCCCAGGCGTTTAACCCAGTCGAGTTCATGGCCAGATTAACCACCACAGACTGGACGACCTACTTGAAAATTCTCTAGTCCTGCATCTTCCATCTCCTGGGCTCTGGGTCCCTGCACAAGTGTCCTCTCCACTGTCCTCACCCAGCATTCTCTGTTTCTTCCCTCTCCCTCCTCACAGAGGTAAACCTAGCAGCTGCAGTGATAGCAGTGCTGAGCCTGGTGGTCATGGCTTTGGGCTGCCTCTGTATCATCATGGTACTCAGTAAAGGTGCAGAGTTCTTGCTCCGAGTGGGAGCTGTCTGCTTTGGCCTTTCAGGTGAGAGTTAAGGACCTGAAGACTGAAGATTTTGCATGCTGGGAGTTGATATCTCCAAGCATTGTGGCATGACCTGAGATGAAAGCTCTAAACACTGCTGCATTCTGGGAGGTGGGATCTCTACACACTGTTGCATGCTGGGATGTGGGATCTCTACACATTGTTGCATAATGGGAGATGATTTCTCCAAGCAGTGCTGCATGCTGGGAGATGGGATGCACATATTGTTGCATGCTGGGAGATCAGATCTGAAGCACTGCTGCATGCCAGAAGTTGGAGAGAAGTCCAAGGACTATAGTAAGCTCAAAGACAAGAGAATTTCAAGTCATTCTTTTGGCTGAGGATTGGAGGATCTCCAAATACTGTTTTAGATTTGGATCTGGAGTCTCCAAGGATTGTTGCGTGATGGAGGATGGAGTCTCTAAGCA